TAAGAAATCAAGGTACAGAAATTGGACCTAACAGGGTATAAGCATTGTACCTTTGAACATGGTACATTTACCTACCTTGTTTTCTTGTACTCTGTCTCTAAAAGAACATTTCTGTACCCCTAGTGATTTCTCATAAGCTCTCTTCTCTGACCTTTAGGCCACCACAGCCCATTAACAATTATCCACCAACTTTGAACACTTTTCAGTACCTTTGCATTGTATTGTTCAGCTAGAACTGATTTTTCCATGTGATTGCTGTAAGCTTCACCCGTGCCAACTACAAGTGCACTTATTTCTCTGTGTGTATGAGATATGGGCTGTTATGAGGTTTCATGTCATATTTTTTATTATTATAAATATTATATTATATTATTATTTAATGATGAGAAAACAATAACTGATTGACATTGTTGTCACTGAGATATGTAGGTGGGTCTTCATTATGTCAGCATTGTTCAGGCATCTAACATCATTCAAATGTCTCATGGTTTCATTTTTAGCCATGTAATATTAAAATAACCATGTTGTTTGTTTGCAGGGAATCATCACTAAGTTGTTGGCAATGCAGCGAATCCAGAAATGCTTCATAGGCAGCCTCGTTAAGTAACCTGGTAAAGTGTGTATCATGTATCCAGGCGGAGTCTTTACCACAGCAGCCCCTGTTTTGCTGCATGTCCAACCTCTTCTTCTTCTGCCTTGCCTGTCTCTCTCCAGCTGTCATCATCTAAATTAAGAAGAAATGCCAAAAAATAATCTTAATATAAAGAAATACATCATAGTTTTATAACCAGGCTCAGGGAAACATTGCTATCCTTGTTCTGTTTTTGTATTTGTTGTGATTTTGTTGATTGTTGTGTGTTTGAAACATGGAATTACTTTTTAAATTAAACATTGTTTTCTAAAATATTTAACGGTACCTCCTCATATTCTCTAAGTTGTTTAATATTTTGTAACTTTTATTCTATTTATGTGCATTTGTAGTTCTGGTCCAGTTAGTTCACACTGACTTTTTACAAACCAAGAAGAGTAAACATGAAGTTACACAGATGGACAGGTAACTCATTGATTGGACTTTTTTGGCAATTGTCATTCTGCATCATCAGGACCCACATGGGATATCAAATTGCAGTGACTGACAGTAGGTCATGCACCACTTTAAATTATCAATGGGTATAACTATGTTCTTTGGAACTCACAAAGAACTAATTATATAATTAAATTAAAAACATAATTAGTGCCATTAGACTGCAAATGGTCCACATTTTTTGAATAATGACTAACAAGAAGAGGCAGCGTAAAAAGCTGTTTTGTACAGTTCTAGGAGGTAGTAAATACTTACTTTACTATCAGATTGATTTATTTGTCACTGAGCTATAAACTTCAACATTGCACCTGAACAGGTTGAGCCAGTCGAACTTTCAACGTGACAGAGAGATTTACTATCTGTAATAACAGCATGTATAGATCATGTGAAGTGACAGCTTGAAAATGCAATTTTTAAAGAATGAACTGCCATATGGTTAAAATGTAGAAAAGAGTACCAATGCTACACTGTTGAAATAATTTAAGAATATTCCTATAAAGACTCCAACAGACTTATTTACTGTTCAAAACATAAGTTGACTGTATCAATTCTCCATTCATCCATTTCAGGTACCTACCTTTTTTTAGTCACCTTTTGGAGGGGTAGTCTATCTCATCAAGCATTAGGCAAAAAGCAGGGGAAGACTCTGGATCCTGGACAGTCTATTGCAGGGCTAACACATGGAAAGATTTTTAGCCCAAAGGGAAATTCAGATTCAGGTGATGGTTTTCGGACTGTCTATAGACTCAATGATGAAGATGCAATATTAATAATCCAAAGGCCCATGGGCTGAAACAGAAGTTAAGGGTATTGAGGTCAGGGTGGGGATGTAGCACATCCAACTTTCAAGATTACTGTCCTGTCACAGACTTGCAGTTAACATTTGTGTATTGTTTAATCAGAACTACATCTTTACCTAACCTTAATTCTTTTTAAATGATGACATTGGACATTAAAAAAAACAAAACAACATAATGTGGGTTTTGCAGATTCATCACTAATTAACTTTGCAGTCCTTCAAACAATCATTGTTTTGCAAAAAAATAAAAAATAAAATATATATATATATTACTTTACAGTATGTTTCAAATGACAATTGATGTAAGAAGAACGAAGAAATACAGATAGGTGGCCGCACTCCTGCAAACATAAAAAAAAATAGATTATAATATAATATAATAGATGATTAATTATTGTTTTTTGCATCCCACTGTAATCACTTACACACACATAACTGGTAAGAAAAATGAGTGAAAATATTACCTTATCAAGAATTTGTAAGGTATTGTAGTATTACAAGTTGAACAATTACTTGCCATATGGAAGCGTATTGCATTCACTTAAAAAAAAACTCTTTTTCTTAGTAATTTATTGTTTGGTTTGTTTTGTGGAAGAATTTTTTTCTGTTTTTCTGAACTAATTTTTTTTCCGTGTTTTATGGAGTAATTTTTTTTCTGAATTATCAAAGATACTTCGAACTCCCATGAGAATCTTCAACATGCAAGTGACTCCTGCCCCGCACTTACATGGCCCATCTATCCACCATAGCCGGTCAGGTAAGGCATGTAATTAGTTACACAAAAGGTGGGATGCCTTAGTTAAGTTATGTTTTAGACCTGTATCCGTTCTATTGTAAGCCTATCGCGTTAGGGTTATATGCTAATAGTATACGCTAAGCATTATAGAGACATAACATGAGAATAGTAACAGAAGTTGTTTAACATGGGGCCAGCGTAAGCCATGCATACAAACAAAAGTTGCCAGTAGACTAGTACACTAATATCCTTGACCACCATTGACGCAACATGACGAGTGTTTTGAGTTGCTGAGGTTTGCTGTGGTTTTTTATGGGGCCTCCCCTCTTCTTTGCTATTTCCTATGGAGGCTATTTAATATATGTATAACCATACCAATGAAACCACAGTGAGGAAGAATCCTGCATGAAACGTCCAATGGCACTAAATTATTTGTAATATGGCCCAATATGTTTACCCCTTACTGTAAAGTAAAAGCAGAGTTACTCATACTATGTTGTAGAAGTCCCAATGCTGGATTTTATTGACTATTTGAATAGTAATAATAATAACAACAACAATAATACTAATAATAAAAGCCCACTCTGAGCGGCTGAGTTTAGTCTTCTGTACTATTAGTAATGTTATTGTTTATGAATAACCAGTGAAGGCTTTCATCACAAAAGGACACGACACAGTTTTGGTGGTGATTTGAGTGAGCACATTAAAATGTTTCATTTCAAATGATTATATATATAGATAGAGTATTTATAGGTCAACAGTCAAGACATGAAACATCCATTTTAAACAAAATTATTTTAAGTTTTTCATATAATTCGACAATATCATGACACAATTGGTCTTGACAGTTTTAAAATGGTGTTTAATTGTTGGTGCAACAAATATTTATATAGATTCTGCCTTTTTCCTACATTTTTGCAGTGCCAGCAATGGCTACATCCTCAACCCCCGCCCTCCCACAAAGTGATGGTCTGTGGATATTTCTTCGCAACAGAGGTGTTCCTGAGGAGAGTATTCATGTAAGTCACAGGAACTTTGTTCCTGTAGGGCTATATTCATTTTTAAAATGATTTTCCTGGATTCGTAACCAAACACCATCATATCCGGCAATCCCTGAACAACAGCCCATGGATACTTTGTTTCCAACAGCTCCATCTAACAAAGGCATAATATCCGCTATATATATGAAACTCTCATCCCTACAGTTGGCATCTCTTGATGCATTGAGAGAAGCATGGCAGGCTGATCTGAATTTACAAATTACAGATACTGAATGGTCAGACATATTTTCAAGAATACACTTCTCATCAATCTGTGCCAGACATGGCCTACTTCAATTCAAAGTTGCACACAGGCTGCACTTGTCTAAAGCCAGACTCGCAAAGATGTACCCAGCATTGGATAATTCGTGTAACAGATGCAATTTTTCACCTGCAATGTTAGCTCATACATTCTGGTCTTGTCCAAGACTCTCAGGTTACTGGTCTTCTATATTCGATGCCCTATCCAAGATATTTAAAAGACCAATAAACCCGAACCCTCTCACGGCCATATTTGGTATTCAATGTGAGGGTGATCATCTTCCTAGGGCACAATCCGATCGCATTGCTTTTGTCACTCTCTTGGCGAGAAGAACAATTTTACTTAATTGGAGGCAGGCTACCCCGCCCTCCTACAAACATTGGGTTAGAGATACGCTACAACTCCTGAAGCTAAAAAAGATTAGACTGGCTTTACGACATCCTAATGATAATTTCAGCAGGATATGGCAACTGTTTTGAGGTTTTGTCCTATAGGTCAGCTATATATACTGTCTTTTACTATTACTGAAAGCCACGTTTGTTATCTCACACACACTGTATGTCTTGTCTTTGTTTTTGTTTTTTGTTGTTGTCTGTTTTGTCATTAAAAAAAGGTCCATTCATTTCCTCTTTTTTTTCTGCTTCACCCCCCCACCCCTGGGGGTGTTTGAGCAGCGGGGGGTGTTGTTCTTGCATTTCTGTATATATGCTGTCACATTTTCAATTGTGAAAACCAATAAATAAAATGGGAAAAGAAAATGTTTCATTAGTTTGTTTACGTAGAAACAGAAAAATATATTCATAATATATATATCATAAAAATGTTTTATTTTTCTGTAGTTATTTTACTAATAAATTAATTAGGTTCTCTCATATATTGTTTCCACTGAGAGAAATGTGCTTTCTGTCTGCATAAAAAATGTCAGCCAATCAGAGAGCAGGAGGTCAGGGCGTGTGACTCGTGGGAACTGATAAGCAACTGACGGCTGAGCTGGACAAACCAACGGCCACTCTGATTGGCTGACAGCCAGCAGGGTTCAGGGATAAAAGAGCAGCTGAGTGCTTCAACAGTTCATCATCCTCATCATCACCATGGCCTTCCTCTGGATCGTCTCCTGCCTCGCCTTCGTCAGCGCCGCTTACGGTGAGACACTCGATTCATGTTGTATTCATGTCAGAAACAGCAGAATGGTCCTTTAATCTGTCTCCTGTCGTCCTCTCAGGCTGCGGTACCCCCGCCATCCCTCCCCAGGTGAGCGGCTATGCCCGCATCGTCAATGGCGAGGAGGCGGTACCTCACTCTTGGCCCTGGCAGGTGTCTCTGCAGGTGAGTATTCTTTAAGCCCCGCCCACTCAGAGCACAGATACCAGTCGATTCTTCTTCTGCTGTTGCTTAGTGATGGTTTGTGTTTCTTTCAGCAATCCAACGGTTTCCACTTCTGTGGAGGATCTCTAATCAACGAGAACTGGGTGGTGACCGCCGCCCACTGCAACGTCAGGTCAGTTCACTTCCTGTCTGTGGCTCATTGGCTCCAACTAAAGACTTAAAAACACCCCACAGTTACTATTATTATTATTATTATTATTATTATTATTATTATTATTGAATGGTGACGAACAAAAACAACAACTTTTAGTGGATGCACTGTGACGGACGTGTTCGTCCAAAAGGATTAGCTAATTAATTTTGTTGCTGATTGTTGGAAAGAGTTTTATTTTGTTGCTGTTGAGTTGTTTTGTCAGTGGAATCTTTATATTTGTTGTTCACTGATTAAATTCATAAAATCACTTTTTTTACAACTGACCTGAACAATGTTCCTGTTTGTGAACTTCCTATTTCCTGTCAGGACCTACCACCGCGTGATCGCTGGAGAACACGATAAGGGCTACGGCTCCAACGAGGACGTCCAGGTGCTGAAGCCTGCCAAGGTTAGAACCATCCAGCAGCCAATCAGGTTTCAGAACACACCTGTCTCCCCCCACTGATCTGTCCTCCCTCCTCCCCAGGTGTTCACTCACCCCCAGTGGAACCCCCGAACCATCAACAACGACATCTCTCTCATCAAGCTGGCAACCCCCGCCCGCGTGGGCACCAACGTGTCCCCTGTCTGCCTTGCTGAGTCCGCTGACGTCTTCGCCGCTGGAATGACCTGCGTCACCTCCGGCTGGGGTCTGACCCGCTACAATGGTGAGGCTGTTCTCAGAGAAGGTTACAGTGCTTTTACTGTGAAAGGGAGGAGGAAGTGTGTGTAAGTGTTTGTATTAATGTCTCCCACAGCTCCCAGTACTCCCAACAAGCTGCAGCAGGCCGCCCTGCCCCTGCTGTCCAATGAGCAGTGCAAGAAACACTGGGGAAGCAACATCTCCGGGGTCATGATCTGTGCTGGAGGAGACGGAGCCACTTCCTGCATGGTGAGGCCCCGCCGACCTACCTGACACACCTGTCTCACCTATGAAACCTGTCTCATATGTTAATTTATTTGTTTGTTGTCCCTAGGGCGACTCTGGTGGTCCTCTGGTCTGTCAGAAGGACAGCGCCTGGACTCTGGTGGGTATCGTGTCCTGGGGAAGCAGCCGTTGCTCCACCTCCACTCCTGCAGTCTATGCTCGTGTCACCGAGCTCCGTGGCTGGGTCGACCAGATTCTCGCCGCCAACTAAACACTCAGAGGCTATGCCTCCAACACCGGCCCGTTGGTCCTTCAGAGTGTTTACAGTGAATGATAATAAAAAACTCTGAACATCAGCAACTGAGTTTGTGTCCTTTCAGATTGTACTCTCACTTAGACAGCAGGGGGTGCCAAAAGATCCATAGTTCATTTAGTTTGAAAAAAACTGGACCATTCTGAGGCCTTTATTGGACCATAAGAGAGGAGAAAGACCCAAGCCAGACTGTTATGGTTGATGGTCCAAACCTTTATACTGTACAGGGTGCTCTAACATGTATATTTTATATTATTTTTATATTATCTTATATTATATTATATCATAGGAGAAATTCTTCCAAAATATCAAGAGTTGCTAGTTCTCTTTAGAAATACAGACCCGAATGCGATTAAGGCAATGCAGAATGGCAAGGCGCCTGCCTGATGGGACCCTCATAGAGTTTTATAAAGTTCCCTAGTAAATTGTCTACAATTTTACTTGATATTGGTTAATACTCTTTTCAGTGCATCCCTCCCCACAGACACTGACTGAAAGCATCAATTACCTATTGGCTTAAGCCAGGTAAAATAACACAAGAAATGCGGCTTTTTCATATCGGGCCCATCTCCCTCTTAAACTGTACTGAAGATCTTGCCAAGGCCTCTTGACTTCATGCTTAGATAACCACAATGCAATGACTAATCTCTGCTACCAGAACTGGGTTTTATTGGGGGCGATCATTCATTTACAAATATTCCGCCGGCTATTTGAATATTTATTCACCTCCTGGCGCCAATCGGTCCCCGAGGTGGTCAATCGCGCTTGAATGCAGAGAAAGCCTTCGACAGGTAGAGATGGGGATTCTATGTTACATGTTTAAGAAATTTGGTTATGGTCCTAACTTCATCTCCATGCGATTAAAATCTTATATACCTTCACCCCAAAGCCTCAGTAAGTTACAAATGTAGGCGCTCTCGTATTTTCAGCTGTCAAGAGGCAACCGTCAGGGCTGCCCTATCAGCCCACTGCTTTTTGCCCTGTCCATAGAGGCGCCTTGTCCATTTTCACCAAATCATTACCTCCTCGTGTAAGTTGGAATTCATAGGGGGGGGGGGGGGCATAGAGTTTCTCTGTACGCAGATGATTTATTAATGGTATGTATCAGACCCCTTTTCAAGTGCCCAACACATGTGATTCATGCCTTGAGGAGATTTGGTGCTTTTTCTGGGTACAAACTGAATTTAGTAAAAGTGAATGTTACCCTTGTTAATGACCTGCTCTTCAAATACAAGCAATGCTCTAAAGCGCGTTCCAAGTCAATGTCTTAAAGGAATTGGCTTTAGATATTTGGCGGCATTAACCATTACAAGGGACATACGAAGCTTACCAGAAAACTTCTATCTGCTATTTGATGAAAGTCAAATCAGACCTGGACAAATGGAAGACACTTCAACCTATCCTTTAGCAGGAAATATGAATTGTATAAAAATGAATGTGCTCCCCAAATTTCTCTATCTGTTCAGTGATATTCCACATTTATCTCCCTAAATCTTTCTTCAAATCTATTGATATTAATCTTCATTTCATTTATATGGGGTGGGAAGAAACCTAGAATACGACTAGAACTGTTACAGAGGCCTAAAATGCAGGGTGGCTTAGCTCTTCCAAATCTTTGTCATTATTATTGGGCCTCAAATGTTCAAAAAATCATGCACTGGCTCCACACTCCTGATACAGACTGGTGCCATTTTGAAGCTGCATCTTGCACTTCAACTTCTCTTAGAGCCCTGGTCACCTCCACCTTTCCCATCTCTATCTCTCAATTCACCAACAATCCAGTAAATCCATAAATACCCTCAAAATATGGTTTCAACTTAGACGTAGCTTCGGGTTTAATAATCTTCTCCATCTAAGTCCCATACATAATAACCATCTTTTTCTCCCAGCTAGATTAGACTCCGAATTTACTCTCTGGCAAAGACAAGGCATTTACAAATTTAAAGATATGTATATAAACAGTATTTTCCCTAGCTTTGATGACTTGTCACATAAATTTGACCTCCCTCGGTCTAGCCTGTTTCGATATTTCCAAGTTCGCCACTTCCTTCAGCATCATGATCCCAACTTTCCATATATACCATCACTTTCAGGTTTAGATGCTCTGTTAGAAACTACTTTCAGGACTTATTTCAAGAATCAACAACTGTATATCTTCTTTTAAAAATACAACTCTTGCAAAGATCAAGGCAGACTGGGTGGATGAGCTGGGAGAGGACTTGGAAGAAGACATTTGGGACAGCGCTCTACTAAGAGTGAATGACAGCACTTCATGTGCCAAATTAAGTATAATACAATTTAAGATCTTACATCGCATCCACTACTCCAAAGCCAGACTTGCTAAAATATACCCTGACACAGATGCAAGCTGCGACAGGTGTCGAACCACTCCTGCCGACCTAACCCATATGTTTTGGTCGTGCTCAGCCCTAGCATCCTATTGGTCTGCAATCTTTAAAACAGTGTCAGAAGCTCTTAATATTGACCTACAACCCAATGCAGTAATGGCCATATTTGGTACTACAGTTTACAACATTGCTTGCACGCAGAAGAATTTTATTACATTGGAAATCTAAAAATCCACCTAATGTATCTCTGTGGTTTAATGACCTAATGCAATTCATACAGTTAGAGAAAATAAAATACACTCTCAGGGGGTCCAGGGACAAATTCTTTTCTGTCTGGGATCCAGTGCTGAAATATTTGGGTAAGCTTAAGACTGTGCCCACTTAGCAGCCATCTAGCATTTACAGTTGTGATATTCATCCATGAGAATTATAGTGTGTAGTACACAACTTCAACAATGGTGAGCCTATGTTTATATGTGTGCTTTTTCTTTTTTTAATTATTTTTATTGTTATTATCACTGTTATTATTATTGTTGTTGTTATTATTATTACTATTATCTTTTCTACTTCCTGGATGGGTGTCCTATATGTTCTGGGGGGATCATATAAAATGCTCCAAAGTTCTTTTGTGAATGTTGTATCTATGTGTATATATCCTGTACTGTCAGTGCTCAATAAAAATACAATTTAGAGAGAGAGGAACAGAGGTCAGTTCATTATGGGAAGTCTCCCGGCAGTCTAGGCCTATAGCAGTATAATTAAGGTATGTTTCAGGACTCACCTGAGCAGCCCTAAAATATAAGCTTTATCAAAGGGAACGTTTAAGCCTATCTTAAATCTTGGAGAGTGTCTGCCTCCCGAACGCACAACTGGAAGCTGTTTCACAGAGAGGCTCTGGCTCCTGTTCTAGCTTTTAGAGACTATAGGAACCACAGTAGCCCTGCATTCAGAGAATGCAAGTGTTATATGGTAATAGGGTACTATGAGCCATTTTTTGTTTCTGACACATTGGAAACATCACTGAAAGTTAAACTGACCTTTGTCCTCTCTGTGTGTCTTGCAGGGTGTCTGCTTCTTCTTCTACTGCGTCTTTAGCAGAGAGCTGAGGATGAACCTGAAGCAGATATTGATCAGGAAGAAGACGAGTGGAGAACTCAGGAACACCTCTGTCCTGATTGTACGTCCACTCATTAAACACATTTAGAAGCTAATGAACTCATTAATGACAATCTTCTCTCTGCAGCGCTCTCTGAACAGGAAGCAGTCGTTCTGTGGAGATGAAGGTCTTTATCGTACCACCATCGGAGAGTCCACAGTGTCTCTGAACAGGTGAGCTGATTCATTTCTTGGAGTCCTGTAGAAAGTTCATCCGGCTTGTTATCCAGTGACGGTCCAGTAGAAGAATACTCTGTAGAGGAGGTTGGTTTTCTAAGGCCTGACCAGGACCCAGTTCTTTAGTCTCCTTCAGTTACAATGACAGGTGATCCCAGCGACAGGTAGTCCCTGCTGTCTGTGAGTGTTATCCACCAACAATGTAATGTGTGAAAATTGTTCTCTATCGTACTGTATGATGATTTGCTATGGTGGCATGCTCAAAACAAAACACTGCTCAAAAATAATAAAATAAATAAAAGAAAAAGTTGTGGTTGAGGAGAAGCTGGAGATCGTGAGTGCTCTGATGTTTACTGTTAATCTGTTCTTTGTTTAGAAACAAAGAACTGAAGTGCCCCGCCTCCTCCACCTCCTCCACCTCCAGCAGGAAGTGTTTCCATGGTAACAACAACAACAACTCATCAATCTTAACCCGGAAACAGTTCAGAAGAAAAGGTTTGTGTTAGGGCTGTAAAGATTGACGGATATGAGTCGGAAGTTATAGATACAGCTATATTGGTACACGGACGCCTGATTGGATCTAAATGTACCAGGAACCAGCTGATGGTCTGATTCTAAAGTTATGAATCTGTTATTAAGCTTTGCTGCTAACAGCATCTGGATCTGCATCTTGGATCATCTTCGATGTTTGTACCCAAACAAAAAAAAAAACTGCATTAGACAACCAATTTCCAATGTTTTAAAAAGCTTTCTGTGTTTTCAGACTCTGACAGTTCAGACAGCAGCTCTGACGCTTCATTTCACTCATCGGACAGCGAATATGAACGATGGAAACATGAGTGGAACAACCAGAGACAAGAAGAGCAGAAGACGAACCCACTCCAGGGTAAAATATATCGTTAACGCCTGGAGCCGATCCCAGCTCAAAGATTTTATTGATTCGTCTGTATGACGAAGACTTCCTGATAGTATAATAATCTTCAGTAAAAACATGTCAATGTGAAATCCGGATTAATGATTTTTAGTCGCCGAAAAGTCGTGAAAGTCAATTGATGACGCAAAAAACTTGATCAAAGTGTCAGCTGAGTTGAGCTGGTTTCACAGCTGACTGTCCATGTCAGATGTGTTGCGCCTGCAGAGTGTGCAGGAGGAGGTATTCATAATAATGACTGTAAACTTTTCAAACCACAAAACTAACAGATGAAAGTGTTGGATGATCAATACAACCAAAATCCCATCTAATTAAATCCTTTCTGACAGAAAGCCCTGATGGCAAACTAATACTCCCCTGCCTCCACTTCCCATTTATAGGCTTTGTTATGCTGCCACCTGGTGGACATCCCAATACACTAGAACGCAGTCAAACTATTGGGACAACTGTTTATTTTACTGCTATATAATAACTTAACTACTTATGACAAAACACGATCAATATCAGCTGATACAATTGATTGGCAAAAGTTTTTATTTATCTGCTGTCGGCTCAGATTCCTGTGACTTAGAATTATCTAGAAACATTAAACTTGGTCCAATAACTGGAAATCAGAATCAGAAATACTTTAATAAAATGTGTGTGAAATGATGTGCATGTGCTTCCCAACAAAAATGAGCCTAATTGGCCAGATGGTGGGGCTGTAATAAAGGCCCAGCTCAATGTGCTCTCCAAAAAACAAATTTTTGCTCTCTGCTCCTGAACCATAGGTTGGACTGCTACTACATTTCTTACCATCTGTGTTGTTTGAACCCCAGAATGGCTGCTTGTGGCTATATTTATTCTTATTCTTATTCTTATCCCCCTACTTATTCTTATTCTTATTGTTTAGATTGAACAAAAACCATTAAAGTTCCATTAAAGTGAAATAAAATACTTCGTAAAATCATGTATTTGATTTATAAAAATACAAATGTTTATAAGACCTGATTCAATTATTTTAAATGAAATTTTATTTGTATATATTGTATATTTATTTGATTACAGAAGTTATCTCAGGACCCTTTTCAAATGGAGCATGTCTAAACTGTCCTCACTATAAAATTATTTACAGAGACCCAACGGTTCCCACCATGAGCAAGCACTGATCAATAATGAAATGATAAATGATAAATGTATTGAATGAATTCTTTCAGCTTACTGGCCGGTGGTTCCTCCCACAGTCACTGACAGTGAAGGAGGAGGTGGAGGAGATGAGGAGGAGGTGAAGCTCCAAGTGGAGAACAAAGTCAACAACCAATCAGCAGCTGAAGACGGAGCCCTGCCCAGCTCGCCTGACAGCAACCAGCAGCCAATGAGACGACGAGGTGAGGACCTTCTGACCAATTAGGACACTCCTCTGAATTTAGCAGATGGTAACGATGTTTGTTTTCAGGGATTTTAAAGACCAGGATCCCCCCTCTCCCCCGTCCTCCACTTCCTCCTCCGCCTGCAGTGATGGACAGAAACCGGAAGTACCTCCTCAGTGAAGCCCCACCCCTCTTATTCAAGGCCCCCTCCACTCCAACAAATCGCAGCCTTGATCGGCAGGTCACCGGGGGAAACAGTCATCCCATCTCTTCCCCTGATGCTGCAGACACGCCCACTCGCGTCACCATGGCAACAGCACAGTGGAGTCACTATGGCAACCAGAACAAGGCTAACGACTGCGGATGGAGATGAGTCTGAGTGAGTTTCTGTTCACTGTCACTAAATATGACCATAATAGGAAGTAACAGATATCAAAAAGTCATAATGACACTAATACTAGCACGCTTAAAGGAGATAATCTGAGTTATGTTTTTATCTTCAAAAATGTGCGAGTTACAATCATCCAAAAAAGTACGACAGACGAAAAAGAATAACTAGAAAGATAATGCACAGCTTCTGAAAGAGTCCCACGTCTGGAAATACTAGCCAAAATGTGTCCAAAAGAGATAACGAAATAAAGTTAATATTAATAATATAATTATTGTTACTATTATTTGAATCAAATAGACAGACTTCTGCCCTGTATCTACAGCACTGACCTCTGCACTGACCTCTGCACTGACCTGATCTGTAATATTGTAGTTATAACGGTCCAAAAAACATAGAGGAGAAGAAGACAAAAAATTATAATCTCAATAAAAACAATCACAATAAAGGTATAACAGTGTTTAAATAATTGATATCTTTTATTTATTTATTCACTTAAAATTCAAAAAGGTCAAAGTCCATTTGGTGGAAAATATTTAAATATATTTTCTTTCTGAATGTAATTGTGTATGGTGTAAATGAAATTTTGACTGTCTTAAACTTCTCTTCATTAATCTGACTTCCTGTTTAAATTGCAGCAATGAAACATCCGTCTGAAGTTTCACTCAGGGACCTGAGAAGAAGAATCAGCTGTTATCATGAAGGAACAAAGGTTGATGGGTGACAGGATGTTTGACACGGAGGTCACATCCTGTTGTCATTAGGCCGGCAGCACTGGACCTGAATCTATTTCTAAAGTTTGACATTTTAATATTGGGCCTCATGGAGATTGACTCACTTTTGGAGCCAGCCGAAGGTGGCCGTTAGAACTAGATTAATCTGTAGCCACAGAAGTTGCTGATTGTGTTTGAGTAGTGGAGGAGAAGAAGAAGAAGAAGAAGAAGAAGACATTCAGGGAAATCTATTTTTATTTGAAAGGTATGTTTTTGTTTTTTATGTAGAGATGATTTTTTTATAAACTTTTGTAAAGCATACAACTAATGTATATGTATGGTTTTTAAATCAAGATCTGATTGTAAAGTTAAATGTTTTGAATTTTTTTTAACAATCAATTAACCCTGTTGCTACCCTGTTATGTCTCTATATGTAATGTGATATCCAGTGAGTATTTCATTGGGTTCAGTGTTTATTGAACACAGCAGGCCATAAATGTTGATTCAAACATAACTTTATTGCTATATTCTGATTGTTTTCATGGTAACTCTAATAGTAAGAGTCCATGATGCGTCTCATGCTCATGAACCTCATGTTGCTCATGCCCATGTTCATGAAGTTCCTGTACTCTCCAGGCCTCATGTACATCATCCTGCCTCTGTAGTTGGGCTGCTCGTACATCAGCCAGTGTCCGTCCATCACGTTACATGACATGCAGTTGGACATGCGGTAGCGGTCCATGATGTTGTCGCAGTCGTCCATCAGCTCGTGCATCATGCCTCCAAAGTTCTCCCTCTCATAGATACAAATAATTGTAGGAGCCACGGTGCTGCAACATACCAATAATCAATCATTAATCATCAATCAGCACCTCAACTCTTCTCCTGTGATTAGTCAGCTCATACTGATGTCAGTGCTGTGATTGGCTGTGTCGTTACCATGGGGATCATACGGCAGGACCTGATGCAGTCGCTCATTCCCATCATGCTCATGTAGTCAGCATACTCGCCCCTCCTCAGGAAGTACTGGTTGCCCATGAAGTTGGTGCGGTCGTAGACCATGAAGCAGCCTCTCTCCACCCTGCAGGAGTGACACCTGCTCAGGTAGGATGACATGTCGGCACAGTCGCTGCTGCACTCATAGGAACGACCCTGGAAGTTCCTGTCCTCGTAGAAGACCACCTAAGGGCAGAGGAACCTTCCTGTCAAACAACTAAAACTCACAAGTATGTGCATTATACTACAATACATACTACAATTTATACAATAATATATACCACTACATATAGAAAAATAAAAAATACGTATATAATATAACTAGAGTTTAGTTTTTAGTTAGCTTAATACAAAACCAAGGTTATTATAGTTCACAAAAATTACACTAAAACTAAGTAAAAATAAAAGTTTTCTGCCACAAAAAAAACCAAACCCTAACCCTTAAGGGAAAAGGTGGGGAACCACTGCTCTAAAGTAGTGCTTGGAAAAATGCCTGCTTGTGTCTGAAATGTAAAGTTCTTTTTAATATGTGATATGTATTATTTAGTCATAAACTAACTGAAGTTAATGTTTCTCACCCTGCCCATCATGTTCATGCTGCTGGATGTCATGTTGCCTCTGTGATTGCTCAGCTGGTTGCTGCTGCTGCTGATGTCGCTGCTGCTGATGTTGCCGGTTGCTGTGTGTTACCTGTGCGGCAGCTGCTGCTCTTTATAGCACCTGAGCAGCTAAAGCCTTTTGTGCAAACAGCCTGAGCCAGCAGCATGTCATAAAGAGACGCTCAGTGTTCGGCATTTCTCTTAGAAACTTCATACAAAGAGAACAGACAGCAGCTGTGTGTCTCCTTCAGGCCTCTGTTGAAAGGGCTCCACTATGCTTTCTGGAACAAAAACCTGAAGACAAAACAAAACCACTGCATTCACACCATATATATCAGAACTGTGACACTTTCTGCTCTTATTCACACATAGTGTTTGTCTTTTATTCACACTTTTATCTCACCATATTGAAGATTTTGGGACACATGAAATATCGGTTAGGATATAATTGAACTGAAGGTTTTCTTTCTGCTATTTATCTGATATTTTAATCTTCAATCAAAGAGACATCAGAACAATAAAACCAACAATCAGTTAATCTAACTAATTGAATCCAAATGTTTCAAATGAAAAATTTGCTTTAAAGGAATCAGTAACACAAGTTACAACACATTCTACATATATACAGATAACATTTTTTATTCATGTATTTGTTTATTTGTTCTTAAAGTCTGTTTAAAGAATATTTCTGAATTTCATAATGTTGTATGATGTTAGTAATAGACAGACATCACATCACATCACGATGTGATGTCTGTCTAATACTAACATCATATAATAGACAAATATTACTTTCTACAGTAACTAGTGGTGTAACTAATTACTGATAAATGCCAGTAATAATATTACTTTCTACAATTTTTGGAATCGTGTAGGAAACTAGTTCGGAAGACGGAGACATTCAACAACTGGAAATATTCCATTACTTTAACAAACAAATCTAGATTTTAATCATCGTCAGTCTGAATTTTGTGGGTAGTATAACTAGTAGTGTCACTGTAATGTAAAGTAACAATATTAGTTTTTAACAGAGTAATGAATTATAAATAGTAAAGACACTGAATCCCAAATTGTTCTTGATTTTTGATCACTGTAGGAATGAATGAATGTGACCTCTGTCAGTGTAAAGCTTTTTGAGAGGTCAGAAGACTATAGAGAAACTCTATCCATTTACCGTTTAAATTCAATTCAGTTCAGTTTTATTTGTATAGCACCTATTCATAACAGACGTTATCTCAGGACACTTTTCAACCAGAGCAGATACAGATATTGATCACATTATACACAGATATTGATCACATCATACACAGATATTGATCACATTATACACAGATATTGATCACATGATATACAGATATTCAATTCAATGCAATTCAATTAAATTTTATTTGTATAGCACCAATTCATAACAGAAGTTATCTCTTCTTCCCTAGACTGAACTCATAACATTATTTACAGAG